GATATAGAACTATGATTCGTCACTCGTGGGGGCGATTGGAGAGATGGATGAATGGATAGAGAGGAGAGGTATGTGTACTTGGAAGACGAGAGGGGAAGATGATTCTGCATTTAGAATGGGGAGGGAAAGTATATGGTATGTGAATGAGCTGTCGATTTGATAGGAGGGAGGAGTGAAGGGAGAAGAGATGGTGCTTGAATTTGATGGTTTGGTGGGAGAGGGGAGGGCCTAGGAAATGGGGAGACTGGGGTTCAACGGGATCAAGGGGATATACAGAGGGTTTAGAATCTTGGATGGGGAAGATATGATGTTGATATATGGGATGTGTATGTGTATCATGCAACAAGGTGAGATGAGAGATGGGAGGGCGCTGGCCCTCTGTTGAGAAATTTGACTTTTCTTGCTATGTACTTCTCTTGCCGCTTTCCAGGGGAGAAAGATGGTGAGAGGAAGTGTCGTATAGTAACACGTGCTACATACTGATCTTGAAAATCTCCTCTATATGTAAGATTACTATATGTCTCCTAGAGTCCTCTCATAGATAATATTATAAAATGGAGATAAGGCTAGAAAGGCATGGAGAACTTGAGAGCTGAGCTTGAGGTAGGCTTTTCGTAGCGCATAACTGTTTGTCATCAGTGTTTTTTGTGATTGTAATCCTTCGTCTGTACTTCTGCATTTCTTTCACCGTTTGATCATCCTGCTCTACAGGGCCGTTCTTACTTTCCATTTCTTGTATATTATCTTGAGGAACAGGTACACTGATAGCAGATGCGTGCATTATTGTCTTGGACTATGTATAAAAAATTGCTTCATTTTGGTTGGTTAATGGTAATGCTAGGGCTTGCATGGGATATCCTTTTGATAGTGTGGGAAGACGGGGAAAGGGTTGGACTATATGGTGGCTTTTAATGCTTCTAGAAAAGTTTGATCATTGGTAGTGAGCATGGTTTCCAGTCGGGGTATTACTGCATTGGGGGCTCGCTTAGGAGGATGCATAGGTTTATAGGAACCCTTTTTGTGGTGAAATGTTTTTGAGGATCGGTCGTTTGGTGATGTTGAGTTCAAGCTTGTCTATGTTGTTTGTTGCTTGTTGAACATACTGTACCGCATTAGGTTTCGGTGGAGAGGTATCAAACTGCTAGATCGCTTGCTACTTATACCGTGTCTATGCGTTCATGCATGTCCGTCCTTGAACAGTATAATTGAAATATATCACGATCAAGAAGAAATGACCCATCTGGTGCTGCATTTCACATAATATAATATAGATTCATACTTCTGTAATACAACATCTAACTCTCATATACAAGAATAAAGACTTGTTTTTGAAAAATGTTAATCGCATAAATAAATAAATGATGGTTGTTGGTTGCATGTACTCAAGGAACACCCCTCTTCTAGACCTTCCACAATCAAACATAATTGGTTATGAACATGGACCGTGGGGGTATGATTGAGAAGGTCATACAAACAATGTTGTTCCGTATTCATAACCACCATGTCTCAGGAAAGGAAGTGAGATGTAAATGATCCAGCTGATGTTGAGTGTGTATCTAATGTTCGCGCCCCGCGTTTGCTTCGAAATGAAATGCTTCGTGGTGGTGAGGATGAGATTTGTATTATATCATTAAATTACCTAGTATTTCCAAAGTCAATTCAAGTAAGTGGAGGTTATATTTCTTCAAGAGAATTCCCATCTAGCAAATATTTGATATATGATATATTTATAAGCATCAACTGATGTTCGTTTCCCTTTCATTTTACTAGGATTGAAGCACAGTATATACTTTCAATAACCCCGTAGTATCGCCTATGAATTATAAAGAGTCAAGACGACTAATGACTATAACAAGGACGTCGATCATAACTATCTATCTGATTTAAAGAAAAAGAGAATTTTCAATCATTCAACTATCTAATAAATTGATATTATATTATATTGATGTTCGAAGATACTCGAAGCTGTCGGCCCATTGCCTGAGATAGTTAGCTTACCGGAAAAAGGTACGCACGGCTGGCTTCATTACATAAATAACAAAGTTCATTTGTACCTATTGGTACGATAAGAGCCCTGGACTCAGTTAAACCGTCTAAAACCTTCAGATGGGAGAAAAGCCACCATCTAAATTAGTACGAAGCTTTAAACAACGACCAAATGAATTTGCTGCTGCATTTTATTTTATGAGCACAAAAATCGACGTCCTTCAGGCCAATACAGAAAGAATTACTAGACAATATATTCATTTGTTGTTGTCTGATCTATTTACCTTATTTACCTGGTTTATCTAACTCCTCACTAATCACCAAAGAAAGATCCAAGTCCAACACAAAGCGATTCCGCATCATACAAAACCACCACCCTCCGATTCACTCAATCACCATTCAAGCTGAAGCTCAACTAGCTGGTCGGGAATTACTCAAAGCCAAGCTCCCTTTGACAGAACTCACTTATGGAGTGATATAACCAGCATAATCGTCATTCTCGTTTGATATACTTCATCGAACCGCGCACGGCGCACATACTATTCACGGTTCCGAGACCCCTCAGTTTGCGACCATTTGTTGTACAACCAGGCCATACACTTACCGACACAGAGTGGGCGAAACCTTCCAATTGATCGCAATCATGGATACTTCTGGGGTTTGGAATACTCAGGACCCTACTTTGTCCGTCCCCTCTCAAGATGACTTTCAGCAATTTCTTGATCTAAATATGCACAATATGGCCGGTGGTCTACAATTCGACTTCGATTTCAACCAGCAACAGTCGCAAGATCAACAAATGATGCATCAAGATGGGATGGATTCAATGAATACAGGAATGGCTGGCAATCATCAGGTTGGGCTCGATGGGTCAATGCACGACCATATGTCTTCAATGACGACAGCTTCTAGCCATTCAGCTATTCTCGGGACTCCAGTGGTACATCCACATACTTCTACAGAAAGTTTAACACACTTAGATGCGCAAATTCAGTATCTACAACAGCAGAAGCATGAGCAGCAGCTACGTCAGTCGCAGGAACAGCAGCGGAACTTTTATGTCCAGAATAGAATGATTCCACCAACACCAAATAGTATGGAAATACATGGTGCCAATCAACATTTCTACTCTCAAGCAGAGCAGCCGCCATCTGTGTTTGAGCCTTACCGTCTAAGGGAGCAAGAGGTTAGTCTAGTTGAACTGTACTTCGACATTCCTGTCCATTGATTTTACACATTTCGAAACATGTGGGAATGGTTGCTAATTTGACATTTCAGATGGCTTTTACTCCCCTCGTATCGCCAGCTGTTACCCCCTTGGAAACTCATTTCAATATCCCTGATTACACTGTCCCCGGAGCGTATTTCAGTCCTTTGAGTTCCCCTGCTTTGCACGCCCAAAACGACCATCAAGCTATATTTGACCATCGTCATTCGGGATCTACGAACTCACCAATTGACATGAATGGCGACTCGCATTCTGCGCCGGTAAGCTCTATAATCCCACCCCGGAAGCCTGCCCGGAAGTCTGTGGCACCAAAACCACGAGTCAACACTCGTGCAGTTCGACAATCGCCGATTGTCAAGCCAAATCGAGGTAGGAAAAGCATAAGCATGAGCGCTCAAGCCCTGGAAGAAATTATTGAGCCTTTAAATTCTCAAACATCTCAATCTAAAGGAACTGGATCAACAAATTCGGCAGCAAGCACTGATCATTCTGAAAATGGCTCAATATCCCCTGAGCATCTATCAGATATGGCACCTCCACCGTTGCCGAGCTCGGCTGGAAGGTCACCCTATGTCGTTGCACAAAAGGAGAATGTCAAAAATAAATGGCTTCCTATTGGGTCACCTGCCACGCCAGCATCACTGATGAGAATCACAAAATCTCCTACCGCCGGCGAGTCGTCACTGAATCGAGAAATGGACCTCGACGATCCAGCTTTGGACGGGTTTGCATTGCCAGAAGCTGCAAATACTGTAAGACCTACGCTACCTCGTATTGATACACAGTCCGACGGACAAATGACACCAACTTTGAGCTCGACAGGATCTAAAACTCCTGGATTTCAACCTTTGCCTTCGCCAGTAGTTGGACGCCCTGGCTTAGCCACATCTGCCAGTCAAAGCCCTCAAATAGATGCCATGAACGGGACGAACGGAGCCGCGCGCAAAACGCCACAAACCCTAGCACGGAGCACCAAGAAGAGAGCGAGCACCTCCGTTCTTGCCTCCCCAGCCCTTCTCCCCAAGATATCTCCTAGCATAAAGCCATTACTTCCTGGCAGTTCATCCATCCATGATGACGCAACTGCTTCCCTTCTACTCGCATCGAAGTCAAATTATCAAAACATACTTGAAGGTACTCATCTTCCTGGTGTTTCGTATCCTTCGGAACTATCAACCAATTTAACATCAAAACGCACGTCTCATAAACTTGCCGAGCAAGGAAGACGAAATAGGATCAACTTAGCACTTACAACATTGCATGATATGATACCTTCCGAATACTATCCTCGGGGAAAAACCAAGGATTCTATAGCAGACAAGGCTGGTAGTGGTGATGCTGGGGAAACCGAATCCGCAGGCTCAAAGAACGGTCAAAGTGCAAGTAGTAAAGCTGCTACAGTGGAAGTTGCCATTGAATATATTAGTCACTTGGAAAAGGTTTTGGCTGAGGCGAACAGAAGAGCCGAAGAAGCCGAACAAAAACTTGTGGAAAAGGAAAAACTATAGTTATAGTTATAGTTCTATTCTTCGGATCGATAATTCTTACCAAGATTTCCTTCCTCTGGGAAGCGATATTGGGAATTCATGGGGTATGAAACGGAGTTAATGATACCTGAGCACGAAAGGTTCAACTGTCACGGCTGAAAGCAGCTCAGGGGCGATACAAAAGTTTAATGATGGGATAATTAATGCCGGGGAAGTTGCGGGGAAGGTATTTGATATATATATATTTTATTATATAGATACTTAGTATATATTACTATTACTCATTCGATACGTTAACATGATCAGCCCTGGGATTTGATAATGGGTATATGGAATGAGTAATAGCTCTTTGTAGATTTGTAGATATGTATTTATAGAATAAAGATATTGATTTTGAGTATATTTGATATATTTGATCTATTAACAGCTGCTTTAATGAAGATCGATGGAGAGTTCGTGTGTGGATTTGATGATGCTCTTTGGGACTGGGGGGGCGCGCGCTGGAAAAGGGGGGATAATTTGTAATGTGAGTTGTTGGGTGGGTGAGCTGTGTTTTCGGAACTTCATAGATATTATTGATGGATGATTTTATTTGTGCAGTGTAAATGCATGCAGTTGATGATTAAAGATGTCTACATGTTTGTGGTTTTTTGGCTATGGATGGTATGAGAGGTAGCAGCACCTGCTTCGATGTCTCTCTTGGATATATAAATTTGTATATGTACGAACTCCATCCCGCGTAACGTATGGGGGTTTCCTATAGCTCCACATCCACTTGATATTCCTGGAAGGTGACATAGTTCGTCAGGAGCCCGTCAGGTCTTTTTCTGCCTTCAAAGTAATGATGTATGCTTGCCGGGCGCGTGGATACCTGCGCTTGATGTATGTGCAACTGGGCTCTTTGATGTTATGCTGGGTTCCTGCCTCTCCTTTCTCCTTCGATTTCTGTCTTTCCTTATCCCTTGCTTTCGGCCCCATATTATCATCTGGGAATAACATCCACGGGAGTCCTTAAATACTAAAGAGAAACCCAGATAACCAGAGCATTTTTTGCATTTCTTGACGCATCACTAAACAAACTGCACCTCTGGCTCCTTCTTCACACCCTCACTCTCCAGTACATCAACATCTAATTCCTCCATAACCCCCAAGACAACAGATAAACTCTCCATAAATCCATTGACAGCTACACGCAACATGCGGTTTGTGGTTGCGCGGTAGATGGTATGGAAGATAGTTTTCGAGTCTGCGGAGACAAGGTTGTCTGAAGTAGGGGAAACGAGAGAGAAGGTACGTCGGACGAGGGGCGAGAGTTCAGCGTCGACGGATAGGGCTGAGAGGGCGGCGGAGGCGAGACGTGCGGTGGGGAGTGGGATGTCGATGGTGCTGGGGGAGGGGTTAGTGGGCTTGGAGGACGGGGAGGGAGGGGAAGGAAGGAGGGTTCGTACAGTGAGCATGGGAATTCTAGTTCGGTTGCCATGTTTGCTGAGGTTTGTAGGGGAAAGGGGTGGTTTCTTTATTGTTGGGTTTGTGTAAGCGTAGACTCGAAAAAGTGTTGCTCATTGTGGTGATATTGATTTAGAGGGATGGAGAGATTTAGGGGCAGGGGTTGTTTGTTTGTTTCCGAAGAATAGCCGAGTCCTCGACTTCTCGAGATTTCTTCGAATTGAAAACTTGTGGTAAATCAACTGAATGAAGTTTTGATTTGAAGAAATTGGACACCGGAGTATTGAGCGATGTTCTATAAGTTATTCCATCGTGAGTAGAATTGAAATAAGGGATCAGATTCGTTATGAAATTGAAAAATTGGACTTTCTGGGCTTTTTGATGCTTTGACGAGGTTGTTTTGTTTGGATGATCATGGGAGAATGACGAGGATGAGGATGCAGGGGTAGCTGAAGTTTGGAGCGAGTGAAGTTTTTTGAATTGCCGGTGAGCGGTAAGCGGTGAGCGAGTAAGTGAGGTGAAAAGAAGAAGGAAATTGTATGTTGAACAGGTGTTTATTATTCTTCATTGCTGGTTAGCTAGCTAGATACTAATAATAAGAGTTATTCATTCTATGTAACTGATAGATCTATTAGATTTATCTTAGCAGAGACGGCTAGAGACTATCTGCTAGATATCTCCTACTAGAAAATCATCAACAATATAATCCATGATCACAACATCAATTGTTTACCTTGTTCTAGCCCCCTCTCCTTGCCTTGCCAACTCTTTCGTCTGAGCTTTTAGCATTTCCCTCCGTAAGCTACCTAGTCCTCTGTGCTCAATCATTCAATGGAATGGTTTGTTTGGAATCTTGAACCTTGCTCATCCATTTTCTCTTGTTGCTGGTCAATTTTTTGGTTGCTGGGTCAGAACAATTACTATAATCAGACTAGTAAATTGTTATTGATCATTCACATTCACATACATACAAATCCATACGAATTCCTAACAAGTATTTGGAAATCCTTCTTCTACTTAAACATTTTCTCTCATGTTGCTTTGGATTTTGGATTGAGATTTGATTTTGTTTTTATTTTCTTAGGAATACCTCTTTTTGATTCCGTCGCCTTTACAGACAGGATACATTTGCTGCGCTGAAGTGTTTATTTGTTTTTAGTTCGAAGTTTACGAGTATCAACAACAACAACAAAAAGTAACTTTGCGCCTATCCAGGTACCATCGTCTAAACCTCGAGTATTCATCACCACCGTCGCTCTTGCCAACAACAACAGCGCCAACAAGATACCTTCAATTACTCTACATTTACGGTTTCGGACTTCGCGACTGCTAATACTAGGTGCCTTTGCGTGCCTTTATCAACAATGCCTCCTTCCTCTCAATTGAAATATGGGCAAATCATCGAGTACATCCCAGGTGTGTTACTTTATTTACAATATTGTCAAAACATCTTTCACCGCGCGGCGCGAACCATTGAGCATCTTACGCTCAGTATCATTACCTTATTGATATTATGCATCCAATGGACTACAATTCTATGCTCGAGTGGGCAACATTACTACCTAATGATAAATTTACTGGCGCCTGCGCGAAGAAAGGACCAAAACAACCTCGAGAGGAGGATAGACCGTTCCACTGGCTAACATATACAGACCGATTATATTTAGCATCTTACACTACACCTCCTACGGCCGACACTCTCTTCCCTTACCCTGAGCAACAGAGCTCTCGACGATCTCCGACGAAGCGGTCAGCAAGGGCTGCAGATGGACCTTCAGTCGTTTCGGACAAAAGAGAACCACCACACTATTTCACCGTCGATGATACACTCCTCTACAACGCCTTTCACCACGACTTTGGACCATTACACATTGGACATCTCTATAGATTTGCAGTTCAATTCCACGACATCCTTGGCGCCCCGGAAAATAAGAACAAACCTGTTGTATTCTGGAGTAAAGCAGATGCGCGTAGTAAGCTACCTTGTTTCATAAGAGTTCGCTGGTCAAGAAAAAAACTAATTGAGTAATTTAGGTCGAGCCAACGCTGCGTGTCTCTTAGCCACGTATATGGTCTTGATCCAATCATGGGCACCCCATCTCGCGCTTGCGCCAATCGCTCAAGCAGACCCACCTTTGATGCCTTTCCGCGATGCAGGATACAGTCAAGCAGATTATGGTATTACAGTTCAAGATGTTGTGTATGGTGTCTGGCGCGCAAAGGAGCAAGGATTTTGCGCTCTTCCGCAATTCGATCTCGAGGAGTATGAAAGATTCGAACGCGTGGACCAGGGTGATTTCAATTGGTTGACTCCCGACTTTCTTGCATTTGCTTCCCCACAACACAACCCTGTGCAACCAATACTTCCTTCTTCTCCACTATATGCGACTCTGCCAACAACTTTGGAAGACGTGGATACTCACCCAACCTTGCCCACACCCTTCAAGAATGTTTTGAAACATTTCACATCTCGGAACATTGGTTTAGTAGTTCGTTTGAACTCGGAGTTATACTCTCCATCTTATTTCACGGCGCTTGGTATTGAACACTTGGATATGATCTTCGACGATGGCACGTGCCCACCACTTAGTATTGTTCGAAAGTTCATTACTTTAGCACATGAGATGATCACTGTTCAGGAGAGGGGCATTGCTGTGCATTGTAAGGCTGGACTTGGACGAACAGGATGTTTGATTGGGGCATACTTAATCTACCGATATGGATTCACTGCTAACGAGATCATCGCGTATATGCGCTTCATGAGACCGGGAATGGTTGTTGGCCCTCAACAACATTGGCTCCATCTTAACCAAGGAACCTTCCGAGAGTGGTGGATCGAGGAACAGTTTGAAGTGAGAATGAGGGAGAAGCTCGCCAACATGGCTCCAATCACACCCAAAAAGGGACATTTCGCAACCAAAAGTCAAATTGTCACTCCTCCAAATGGCAATCAAAGAACCCCACTTGGCGAAGTGGACAATGAAAGAAGTCATAGCATCGGAACTCAGGAGGATTACTTGCCAGCACCAACACCAGGTCAACCAAGAAAGACAGGCAGGGGTGACCGCCACCATCCATATGGACGTCACGGTTCGGCATACAGCTCTACAGAAGACGATAATACACATTGCGAAACTGAAGTAATCTCAATACACAGATCATCGACTGATGCTACCGAGTCTGAAGAGGAATGGCAGCTCCGTATGCGTACCAGCCGCAAAACATCAAGGTCCCCAGCTCGGAGCGAGAGGTCAGGAAGATCCATAAGTCAGACCACTACGACAATCTATACATCGATAGATGACAGTAGTTACGATGTTGAAAATATCGGAACAGCAAATCGACCTAAGACACCATCTGCCATCAAATCTGGCAGTGGTTCACTTGGAAAGGTTCGAGGCAGCCCTAAGCGGAGTGGGGACAGTCTCCGCAATAAAGAAACATCTGGAGCAGTTCGCAAAACCAGTGGGAGAGTTGGGAGTGTCGGCACTCGCAAAGTCTCTGGCTTGTAAATGATTCACGTTACGAAAGCAATCTTTGTACTCTATAGTACCTTTGACATGCATTTTAGAATTCTGGCGTCGATGTTGTTGTTACAGCATACATGAAGCAAATGTGGAAAGTAGTGTGTGGCGTTATTGAATTAAACTTTATCGTCTGCTAGTGCAAATGTTGAGTATATCAGGCTTGTTTGGTCTTTTTTTGGCATTTACAACTGCTTGTTTGTCTATTGGATGGAGTTACATTTGGGATTATGTTCATCTTTTCTCCGCGCCTTTGCTTGGACTTTAATGATGATGGTGACTATGGGTTGGATGGATATGTTTGAAAGTGGAGTGTGGAGGGGGGGCAGGGCGGGAGCTTGTGGGAATGGTGGTCTATAAACGTATCTTGCTCTACGCTTGGGTCTGGGTTTGGTGTATGAAATGGTGTTGGTTGTCTTGATTGGTTGTCTGTCCCTTTTTACAAAATCATTACGAGATCATGAGAATTAAGAATGGTATGGATGGTGCTGTTTGAATGTACGTAGGTGGCCTGGGCTTCTTACTATATGAATACGTACGTTAGTACTACTCACGGGTAGAATTAAATCCAATCATTATGAATACAACTATAAATGAGTGTAAATGGATTGTGATAATAATGAATGTTTTGCTTTGCTTTGCTTTTTAGAGAGTCGTCCTAGCTTAGTCTGTAGGTATTGGTGTCTACTCCTCATATCCATAGGGTAGATAGACCAGTCTCGCTTCTTTTATTTCATGTTTCTCTACTTTAATTGTGTTCATGTATTATCCTGGATATTATTTTTAAATCTAAATATACGAGTATAGGCATCTGAAAAGGTGATGTATCTCCTCACTATTATATGTATATTATGATTCCCTCTTTTAGATCAGATATTAAAGTTTATTCTAAAGATTAATACTTTATTATATTCTTATATTTTTATTTAGATTCTAATTAGATTAATCTATAGTATTTTAATTTGTATTTTGATAGCTTTTTAAAGTGAGTAGATGGGTAATTTATTTTTTTAATTTTTTTTTAATTATATTAATATATCATATTTGATATGATGTTGAGATTGTAATGCCACCTTCTATGTAAATTGAGACCCTACTCGCGTCAATTAACACACCGAGATTCAAAACTGGCAAGGTAGAGAAATTCGTACCTCCTGATCGTGGCCTCTAACAGTTTTGGACAGACAGATTTATTCACCATCGAAGCCTCTCAAATGGCATTGGGTCATAACTCCCTCATCCGCAGTTTTGATGGTATGTATCAACAAGCCTCACGCATCTAATCCTCAGTTGACAAAAAGGGTTTCATGAGTTGCTGTATGGCGTGCGATGACTGCGTCGATTAGCATCATCACTATGTGGAGACAGAGTTCTACCCGGCCCTTGAGAAAGCAGCTGGTCGAAAGGGCTTGATGGACGGTGCTGTAAGTTAGCACGGTAAGTTATATAGCTCCTTTGCTCGAAAATAACTGTTTAATGAGTTGCAGTTGCTTTCCACGACGGCCTAGAACAATTTAGCACTTATCCCAAGGAAAAGAACCTGACTTCTCGTCCATGGAGCTCATTCAAATCATAGACTCTTTCTCTGAACCATGGTACAGCCATCTGAAGGAAGAGCCTCAAATCATCGCCGATCTCTCCCAGTACAATATAGTCGAAACATTTATCGACATCATGGCCATAGCCGCCCAAGCTAGCAAGAAACAAGTCAAAGTCTACTTCGTTTTCAATGTATATGTGCTTCCCGTCTTTTCTTGAACATGGAAAGTGTGGGGTTAACGTTTGGGAACGGCTTGTGGCACGCAGCATTTCCTCCCATCAATAAACCGGTCGAATGGCTGATGACCAAAGTTGCTCCGCTGTGGCAGCATCGTCTTTGCGTTTTGCGAGCTGTACTCCTGACGGGGAGTATAGGTAGTAGGCTGTACAAAGTATCTAATTTTCCGTAGTTATACGTTGTTCATGGAAAATATTCGTGCTTAATCTCCAAGAAGATAGCCCTCGCTCGGTTATTGGAGACATCCGTTAGATTCATGCACAATTGTAGTAGTTTGATCTCTTGAATTTTGGTACTTGTGGATATTATGCGCATGTTATGGTATTCATGATCTGGAATTTACACACTACCTGTTTAGATTGTGTCTGTTGCGCTGGAGATAGACAAGAGCTGTTTGAGGTAAATCAAGGTCGGGAAAGTGAGTGGCGGAGGATGATTGCGGGTTTTTTAGCATATGATAGTGTATTGATGGATACCTTGGAGAAATTAAACAAGGAAAGGCCTGAAGAAGTTTATAAAATGGTCTTTGCTATTTTCCACTTTCTATTCCCCCAAAACAAGAATTCTAGAAAGCCCCGTGTTCCACTCAGCACGCTTGGGGTATGCAAGAAGCCTGGATCAAACTGTCATGCCAAGGAACCGAACTATCCTGCCATGCATATCTGTGGATGTGTCGCGCAACGAGCTCAAGACGAGTATCTTATATAAACTTATGCGCTAGCAGCAGCACAATAAAAAGTATTAGTAGTTGCAGGACAAGTAGCTGTGCCATCCTCAAAAAGAGCCTCAATAAAGCCTGTTTCATCTCTTACAGTGATCCGGCCACTTCCTCCACCGTTACAAGTATCATAGATTCCGTCAAACGTAAGAGTACGAAACTGAGGCATTTGATCCTTAATAAATACATCAGTTGTTGAGAACGCCATATTGACGGTCATATCGCAATTTTGACCATCACAAGCAAGATCCCGAGTAATGAGCTCCAAACCGGCCAAGAAGCCGAGACGTACTTGTTAAGATAATTACGGAAGTTAGACTCGCCTTCCGCGTACCTCGAGGTCGATGCTCCGAGGGTGGTGCAAAGCAGGCCTCCGAGTTATGGCGCGGCTTGTAAGGACTGTCGAGATTTGGTGGTCACAGATTTGTCAGGCCAGTATGCCTTGCCTTCCGCCACCATTTTGTTTGCCCAGTCCATGTAGTCAAGACTACTGACAAGAAAACGGTCTGCAGCGGTCATTGGCACTGGTACCCGTGCTGCACTATCAGCATCTTGCTTGATAGGACTGGCCAGGATCTATAGAGCTTTAGCTTAAGCAAAGCTGTCTACATTAGATATTGGGGTTACAAATACTGTGGAGCAAGAGATCCCAGCGATTATGGTAGAGACGAACTGAATTGTAAACTTCACGATGCTGTTTGTTGCACATGTTTGTAGTTGGAGTTGATAATAGCAGATGCAAAGGATACGTTGTCCTTTTTATATTGTTGATTTATGAGGTCACATGCAGAAAGCGTGCTGCCCACGCACTAGTCTACACAGTTATCATTTAGCTTCGGAAAGCCGGCGAAAGTAGGAGAAAGGGGCAAAGGAATGCCCATTAGTATACAAGTAATGAATCTGAGCTCTTAGTCCACTTTGATTGCCCGGTCATATATAGCCACCAAGTCGAATATTGCTTCCTACATCGTGTTGAAACCCCCCCCCCCAAACATTCTTCACACAGAGACCCACAGTTTAAGCTGTTAGTCGCAGTGATTTGCTAAGTACGTTCTATTTAGAGTAACTCAGGGAAACAAGACCGATGCCAATGATGGCATTTCGGGGAAGCCAGATACCATAGCAGGAGTAATCACCTGCCGAACTTTGTCTTAGGCAGGCCTTTCAATGTGCTGTCAAATTTGGCAGGCTCAATTCTCGAATGACCTCTATACTGGAAATCATGAGCTAGTGGTATCGTATCATCAAAACTATTTGGGAGTAGTGGATAGACCTGCTGGGGGCTAAATGGCAAGCCTGCCTGATTCCGGGCCATCTATAATGTTATAACGTTCTGCCTTCACCAGAATCCTCCCGCTTGTAAAATCATCCTGCAGGTTGCTCCTCTGGTTATCAGAGGCTTGACTCCGAGATTCTTACCAAACTCCAGATAGCATGAAAGCCATTCCGTTGATTCCACCAGTAATCAAACAAGGCCATACACATTGTGAGGGGCCCCTTGCAAATATGCGTAGCATTGTAAACTTCAGAAATTTTAAACCATGCTTACCCGTTTAAACAATCAATTAGACTTCGTGGACTTAGAGACATCTCTGTCTAATTCGCAGAATATTTGAATACAACAGTTGGAGACCAGAATTGTGAAGTTCGGCAGAAAATGTACATGGGTCGTGTACATAATGGTTGGAAGCTTTCGTGTGAATGTGGAGAACGCTAACATATTGCCCCGCATTGGTAGCACTTAAATTAGCATAACTATGTATGAGTTGTATGCAATTGTTGGGAGCCAAAAAAAAAAAAAAGAACAAGCTTTGAATTGTTACAGAGGACGTCTACTATTGTATCTCGACAGGCCTCGGAAGGCTTTTAATATTACCATTGAACGGTAGATTTACCTAGAGTCTATTACTTCTTTTTGATCAACTTCAACTACTTGAGTTGTATTTCCCTAACAACATTTACGATCATTGGTTGTTGTCAAGGCAAACCATGAAGTGTTCTCTTATAATTTCAATATCTGCACTTGCATTCAACGCAGTACTATCATAGGATTCGCTCGAAGCTTTTCCTTCGACAGGATGCCCTGAACAACTGCGATACAGTGTTGGTCGGATTTGCGAATAACAACTGTGACTGCTCCCCAAACTGCGATGGATGTACAGTTAATGGAGCCATTCCATGCTTTCAAGCTCAAACGGTATGTTGGATGTTCGCCACGCTGCTGACGGGAAGTAAGCAAAGGACAAGAGATTACAGCCCATGTAAACATATTACAGCATCTTCAAATGCCCTACGCTTTTGATCTCGTATTAGCAAAGCTTAGGAAAAGACAAAATATATGGCAGTAAGATGCAGCTGTTGTATGGAGTTCCTGCTTAGGTTTAAGCTCGGCCAGCTGCAAATGGATTTGGAGTCCTTATAGTCAAATGAGACTTCATATTGACTCTTGAGATCCAAGTTCAACATTGTTTTTGCCTTTCGATGCCATGACAAATACGTTAATCTTCAAACAAAAGCCCTGCCCCTTAAGAGCGAAGCGACAGCCTAGGCAAGCACTACAACTTGACAACTTGAAGTTGAATCCATCTCCTATATACACCCAGTGATAATAACTTATTCCTCAATTCAAACTCCTTCATTGCATGACATACGCCTTTGTAGATTGAAAAATTAACAACATATGATAGGTGCCGGTGGGAGGAGACATAGCTCAAGGAGGATATATGCGTAATGCATATGCTGCACACGATTAGGGATCCCTGAGACAGGGGGTTCTAATAAAGTGCTTTCCTGCGGTCCCACCTGTCCCACCTGCCATATTTTATATGATGATAGGATCGTCATTGTCTAGTAGCCAGACTCGGAACGTGTCAGACTGCATCAAGCGTCCAAAGAAGTGTCGGTTATCTTGGCGACCCTGTGGAATTTTGTACCCTTCTTCCCAGATGTTGTTACAACAAAACAAAATAAAGCTGCCACTTCATGTTCAATATCTTTTACATTTACTATCATTTTCGTATTGACTGCACGACCATTATAGATACATTCAATTTACTTCCAGACACCGGCTCAGCACACTCGAGGTGTATGTCAAACTCATTTTCAACATCAAAATTGACCTCAAAGTCAATAAAAGCCCAGGCTGCTGTCTTTGATCGGCTCCATCATTATCATCGAACTGATATTTTTCAACTTTAGGAACCTCCCTTTACGTCAGCGGCGCCTATCATCCTCTCTCTACACGCGATTACCACACACCCCGCACTAGCACATCAACCTCTTCGGAATCAACATACTTGGTCCAAAAGAACTTAAGAACAGTAGCATATTTCAGCAAGCAGCAAAGAAGCCAGTGAGAGTGCTATAGTAATTCAGACAAAAGCATTGCTGGTAGGTGAAATTACACTGCTCTTTGCACGTTTCAATAATCTCTACTTCTTTCCCACTTCCTACTGCGAGCTTAGTGGTACAAAAGCACAAGGTTTATATATTTAATGGGAATATGTTTTTTTTCTGTAGATATATCTGTCGAGCCCCAAAAGGTTTATATGTCATCAAAGTGCTTTGCGAAACGTCGCTCTGATTGTGGTTCCCAAAGTCCAAACCAAAATGAATACGCCTGCGACACGACAGCGCCAGGCGCATGGTTCCACAACAATAATACCAATCATCAAATCGAGAGACCAGCACCACCTACGATTATAGCAGAGAATGTTTTTGTTTTTATTCCAAACCTCATAGGTAAAACCCTCCCATTGCGGATTGATATTAATTCAATCTAACATCTACAGGATATGCCCGAGTTGCTCTGGTCATTGCTTCTCTCTATTACATGCCACTTCATCCTCGAACATGCTCATTCCTCTACACCACATCTTGTCTCCTCGATGCCGCCGATGGGGCTGCGGCTCGGAAATTTAACCAATCCACACGCTTTGGTGCCGTTCTCGATATGGTGATTGATCGTTGTACGACCTCCAGTCTGATGGTATTCCTGGCGAGCGCATTCCCTAGATGGAGCATTATTTTTCAAATTCTTATAAGCCTGGATCTCGCTAGTCACTACATGCACATGTATGCTACGTTGGCAATGGGAGGTAGCTCTCATAAGCAAATAGACAAGAAAGTGCCTCGGGCTATGCAGTTCTACTACACGAATAAGGTTGATGGGTTTCTAGTTTCTATCATGATCAAGCTAACGTGTGCAGAATGTTCTCTTTACCGTTTGTGCTATGAACGAGCTTTTCTTTATCGCTCTTTACCTTCTCTCTTTCTCCTCGCCTATCCCCATATCTACCATGGTGCAAGCAGACGGTCAACTCGGGTCGGTAACACCCGGAAACCCTCCGGATCCATCATTGATTTGGACTTCACCATGGAGCGCCGGATGGATGGAAACGGCAAGGTAAGTTCTCAGAACAACTTTTTCTATAAGAATATTAATCAACTTCTCGACCTATACAGAGCAAACAAAATGGATAGTTCAGTTCCTTGGATTCTTCTCTATATTTCATCCATTTTCATGCTCTTCAAACAGTATGTTAATATCATTCAATTAATCGAATCTAGTAAACGGCTCGCGGAGGGTGATGTTGAGCTGAGGAAGAAGAGTATGTTGGCTCGAAATGCAAGGCGGTAATTTTTATTACTATTATTAGGAAATTGAGAGGGAATAAAAAATCATGTCGAATTAGATGGTGCGGTAATATTACCCATATATTACCACACCTTGTAGAAACTATCCAAAGATTCTAGCCTGTGTATCTATCTATCCTATATTATTTTTATGTTATACAGGTTATAAAAATGATTAATTAATTAATCAATGCTATGCAGTCTCGTTAGCCGGGAGAAGCACCACCGTGTATATATATATTAAATTTCTAGATAATTAGACTTTGCTGGAAGCAAAACTCTATACTTTCGCTTAGGTTAATTACCCCTTATACATTGATTTCTCAACCCCCATTACCTTTTTTAGACGACTAGTGGTACCGAGGACTCTTTTCCCTCTCTGAGTTTATAGTATAGCTTTACAAGTCGCTTCATGATTTCCATTAGGGGCTAGAATTCATCGAAAAGTGCGTTGTTTGAAAAGAACTGAATGATGCTATTGCGATGCTTGAAAGACTACATGATGAAAACTAAAGTTGACTTGTTGCAGATCCATCTGAGCTTTTGCTTCTCAGTTCAAACTTTTTGAGATGAGTTTGATGTGATGAGATGAGTCAAGCAGATGTTGATCCATATTTTGGAGCAATGAGATTATTATAGTGAGACGGGATAACCTCACAGGATGAGAGGAGAAACTTATTAGAAGAGTGAAGAATTTCTCGTCCCGATTGAGGGAACCGAAATCATCATCGCGTGACTATGATGTAGCTCCCCAAAAAATTAGTCAAAACCATAACACGAGTTCCCTTTTTTCAATGAGCTATCGTCATGCCGCATCGGCACCCCAAGCCTGAAGTGTGGTTGGTTACTGTGTGAACGAAGTGAATGACTTCAATTCAATTACTACTGTAATAAAGAACTAAGCGAACGCGAAAGAGACTAGCTTCTTTTAGTAAGTCCTATATAAAGACTTACTACTTTTCAATATGTAGCTAGCTCTTTAGACAGAATACAATTAGACATACAGGACCTACGTAATCCGTGGGTGCTACGTCTTCCGTATCCTTCTCGTACCAACAGTTACCATACGGCTTTATACGCGATCAAAGCCGACATGACAACCAACCGTTTTTGTAATCTGTCGAGCCCTTCTACTAAATCGTGGGACATATGAGGTAGTATTAGATTTCATAGAAGAGCTTGTAGCACTAGTACTTTTTCGACCATTATGATCATGCTGCTCTAAAAGTCCGCTATCTTTGAACATCTCAAGGAAGTTGATCAAATAATCACTAAAACGACTGGGATAAAATCCAAACCATGTAGAAAGATCTGACCAATGACATTTAATCATCAAGTGTTAATACCTGATACAATAATGTATTGAAGGACTTCCTTTCGCCCAGCTGCTGCGATGTAGTAAAGTGGACTATTCCCTATTCCGTCAAGGTCATCTTTTTTGAATACACGCCCTAGTATTGTGAGAATATGACGATCAGGCAAATCTATCATACACATACACAAAGCATGAATTTGAGTTACGCGAAAATCGCATACATTTTTCTCGCCGAGGGCAGCATCCATATGGTCAATCCTGCAAAACATCGTGTGCAACAAAGATAATCGTCGCGAAGGATCTAACTTCTACCATAGAAGAGAGTCCATTTCATTGGATAAGATCATGGAATTGGCATCAAAGAGCTGGTAGTAAGCTTGATCTGGACTTTCGGGTCTCGGGTCGACCACATCAAAACATCCATCAACAATAGTCTCCTATTCCTCTTAGACGTAACCATCTCATTCTTGGTAAGCTTACGATGTAGCTTTTTCAACTACTTCTATTGAGTAATAACTAAAATCCGCATCAGCTTTAGCAGTGGCCAATGGTGCTATTGAACGCTTGCGTCAGTACATTCAGGGAGTGTATCATTTTATTCCTAGATTCCACCCCGACCTAGTGATTCATGCGAGACACAAGAAATCGATGAAGGTATGTAAAATAATACTTACTGAGGTATGCTCGTTGGTAGATTCATCAATACCCCTTAGCAAAGAATCTAAATAATCCAATCCAAATGAAACATCTCATCTAGCTAGTATCGTAGAGCTGCTCGACATAGCAAATCTCGGCGCTCTGTTATCAAGTGGTTTTATAATACCAGTTATTATATATCTTCCCCTTAGTGGTCCTGGAAAACTCGTCCCCAGAGTCGGCAAATCTCCAAACTTAATCGCTTGTGAGATATCGGACGAATTAGCAGTAAGAATAGACATACTAAGTGATGAATATCCTAAATAACTTACCTCGAAGCATAGGTACTGTAGAGAAATGGAAATGTCGCGAAGACTGTCATGGAAAGCTTCAGATTCTCGGCAGCAATCTGTGTTCTTGACTTTTTATGAAAAGTTTGATTCATATGTTTCATAGAGAGTACCTAGGTATCCAGAGAATCTGCGTTAATCTGAAGGATCAAGCCTTGATCAAGGGAAGCTGTCAAGGCCTCGGAATCTAGTGTTACATAAAGGAGCTTTCGCATGTTGTGAGCTGTGCAGTTGATTTTGAATCATATGATGAGATGAATACAGTAGTTTGCATGCGAAAAGCAAGACAGAGGTGAGGTGAGATTAGTCTGATGTACTATCAACTCATGTATCATCTCAGAAATTCAAGAAACTTAGACTTTTTATCCTATCAAAAATTAGTTATGTCACATTTATTGTGACGCTATGTCGGTGGAAGTATCCAGTAGCAAAGACAGTAAAGGTTGTACACATCACATTTCAGATCAAGTTAATACACAGACAGATATATGTGGTTACGTATGTGACATTATCGCTGATTTTCTAAATATTCATCCAAAAGCCTATGTAGTGCTAAAACGCCTGATGCCACCGGAACCATCGTTGCCCTGTGGTATCGTTGCTAACGCCGTAAATTTACTTTTGTATTCTTCACCATTCAATAATCTCTTGTGGGAAGAATTCATTGATCAGTTCGATATAATACGGCTATTGAAAGTTAGCTTATTCATTTGTAATGCAATTGCGGATGTCCATACCTTGAGTTCTTCCACATTTGGAGGCTCATCAGCCTTGCTATAAAGGTCATATGGATTGAACTTCTTCACAGCGGCTAGTCTTTTTTCATCGTCCTCATTCATCAGATGCTTGTATTTTCCTTTGCTGTGCATTGAGTAAAATGAATGATATCTGATCATATCAAGTGCTTCTTGTGGCAATGTGGACCATTTCTTGACAACATGATATAGATATTCATCATGACCGTATGACATCATGACGTTATCCAATCCGCAATTTGGAGAGTAAACTCCGTACTTGGTGTTGTATTTTGGATTATGATAATCAGGATTGTTCTTGAAAGTCTCGGAAAGGATGATGTCTTCGTCAAATGCACAGCCTACTGGGAAGGTATCTCCGACGACTTCCCACTGATCCGAAGCTCCAAAGAAACTAAGCAATTTGCCGAGATCATGAATGAGCCCAGTCACTATCATCCAACGTGGACATCCATCTCTTCTCATCGCTTCAGCCGTCTGTAAAAGGTGCTCAATCTGAGATAACGCGGTGTCGGGGTCTGAATTATCAGTATATGTGTTAAGCAGCAAAATCGCTTGCCAGATCGACATGTGAACCTTCTTTCTGTTTTCAACAGTTTGACGAACTCTTATGTTAAAATCATAAGTTTGATACGTATGTTGTCTGGCACATTGTTAGATTGTATGTAAAATTGAGAAAGCAAAATTGGTCCTTACTTTAGATAAAATTCCTTCACACTATCTTGAGCGGATTCATACTGACGAAATAGTACCTCTTTCTCAGGGTCTTTACTATCTCGTATTTTTGCCGCAAGTACATTAACTTCATCGATGTTGTCTGATATTCTTTCCAATTCTTGTCCACCAAAGCCATTGACGGATGGTTGAACGTCAACTGCCACTTCTGAAGACATCTTTAGAGATGGTAGAGGAAGGCTTATCAAAAGCTATGAGGTTGCTTTGGAAGGAGTTTGATAATTTTGGGAGAGAAGATTATCGTAGTTGAAGATGTATGAATAAAAATGTTGGGGAATGAGCGGGTAATTGTATCAGACAGTTGCTGTACAAGCTTTTTGTGACGGGAACCTCGGAAGGAGGATGAGAAAATGGGAGGAGGTGAATACAGTTTGGGAAACCTGACCAATTCGCCTCTAGGTCGAGTTGCAGGAATATATAGCTAATGGTTCTGCGCACAAGCATCCCAATTGTGTCATATTGACCAACATGTGACTTGTAAATAATGATGAGTTTTCCAAGACTTGCAATTTTACAAACAGAAGGGGAAATAATACTTGCATGATGATCATTTTAGGGGTCATCGTGTTACAAACTAAATGCGTGGGGTGACAGTTGAAATGCGAGTTCGGGGAAGACGGATCTTTTTGATGATCAGTGTCGATCTGGAGATAAGTGTAACAGACAAGAAAAAAATTACCAGATTGAGTCATGACCAGGCAATTTTCCGGAATTGTTTTTTTCCCTCCACCACAAAGTTGGCAATTGCCATATTTATTTGCCAAGCAAGACAAGCACTAAAGTGAAAAAAAGCTTCGGTAACGGCTATTTCCCCATAAAAATCTCGTCTAAGCGGTCCAAACATATCAATCCATTGTTCTTGGCGATATTTATAGTTTTACCCCAAGTAGATCTTATTATCAAACGGTTTCATGATATCCCGAGATGCTTTTTCATGGAGATGGAAATTCCTAATAATTCTTACCAAAAGCCCACAATAAACCCCGCGGACATTTTGTTAGACCGTGCTCGGGCACTTCTTTCTGATCATTCACTCTTTGATCATCCATTCAGTACCACATTGACGTCCCACAACATGATATCAAGTATTCTGGAGATCAACTACCAACTGTTAGTGCTCGCACCTATACTGGCTCTTCCTTAACTTTACACTAATCGACATTTAAAGTGCCGAGCTTGGCAAAGATCGAGAACATATGAGAACTTGGTAGACATTATAGTACTCCCCACGATAGGTTGATTCACGATAATCTTTCCTCGCAATACGAAATAGAACTATCTCGAATCAAAGATTGACCGTTATCGACTAATACTACTGTTATGGTAACCCTGACTGATGATGCAAAGCGTTGTTAACATTGGATTCCATTCCTTCATGGCTTAATAGCTGCTTGCTACTACTTTTGCCTCAGTTTCACGATCACGATCCTTTACCCAGCCTTCGGTCTCCGACATCATACCTCGTGATTCAACGTAGAAACTTTCTTTTTGTTGCATCTCTAATCCTTGCGCACGGATAGGGTCAATACTCCTCCAAGTTATTCAACATTTCAACAGGTTCTATATGCTCTTTCTTCATCATTAACACGTGATTAATGAACAAATCAAATATATGCTATCCAGATATCATAACTCCAAAGCACCCGAATACCACAGACTTATAACAGAGAATGAGATAATAGCAAACAAGACATCTATCTGCCCCAAATCTCGTTGACACGGACTCAAACCCCATGGTGCTGAGACCTCCGCTCATACCTCTCCTTCGGAGAACGAATGCACATGCACCTAATAGTGGTTGGTAGTGGTAATTAGTGAAGGTAAGGAAATATGTTCTAGTGAAGTCTCTATATTTACCTATATCCCATTGAGTAATTCATCTTTGAGCCATGGAAAACTCTTAAATGTCTGGAGTGCGAGTTGATGGAGACTGGATCTCTACAGTAAATATATTTTATTAAGTTTAAGTCTGCCGTGTGATCTACAGAGTCTTTGTTGACAAACTGATCAACATTATCTTTCTACATCGCCCAACAAATGTGATTATTTCCAATCAACTTTGTACCAAGATACTGGCGGTAACCAAAATGTAAGTATCCACTCAATCTGGACCTAGCTATTTCCATTTTTGATAAGGCTGCATTAGCCAAGGACAATCATCTAATAACCACGGGTGAGTAGCTTTGTGGAGTAGACGAACTAATTTCACGAATCAGTGGTATCAACGAGGACTTTCAAAACCAATCTACCCTCATCATCCTTGACTTTACCAGCCATCGCAAAGGCGTCCGGAATATTCTCGAATCCCTTGTATCTTTGCGTGATTAACTTGGAGAGATCTGGAAGTAGAGGATCCTTGCTCCCAACGAGTTTGATGGCTTCTGCGTAAGTATCTGCGTATCGAAAGACACCTACGAGATCAACTTCTCGTAAAGCCGCGGCGGAAATTGGTAATGTTTGTATGGGAGTTCCCATACCAATTAACATTATCTTTCCTCCCGGTTTAGTTGACTATCGTGAATTAGTTTCAAGCTCTCGATGAAACACAACTTGCACTTACATATATCGAAGCTTGGAGGCATGATTCAACACCTGTGCATTCAAATACTGCATCGACCTCCCCTTCTCCAGATGCCTCCTTGACCAACTCCGCGACCTCTTTCGCGAATGCCAATTTATCCTCGATCGACTGAGGTCTGGTCATAGGGACCAGAAGCTTGGCATCAGCAAATTTGTTCTGAATTGCAAAATCTAATCGATCGGGTTGTATATCTGCTATAACAATATTTTTGGCGCCAGTGACCCTACACATCGCTGCACATAAGAGGCCCACTGCTCCGGCACCAAAGATGAGAACTGTCTTGCCCTTTGGCAGAGCTGCTCTTCTCGAACCGTGTATTGCGACACTGAGAGGTTCGAGTACGGCACCGAGCTCAAGGGATACATTTGATGGTAATCTACAATAGTGAGCACGTGATCGAAAAGTACGGAATAAATACATACAAGTGACAATATGCTGCAGGATGATTGATTCGTTCTTGCAAAGTTCCCTGGAAATGTGGGAATGCTTTCGCCGAACTTCTAAACTTCATTTCTTTGCAGATATTGTATCTTCCACTTGCACATAAGTCACAATTCTTGCAAGGAAGTCCAACTTCTAACGCAACGTGATCTCCAACCTTCAGGTTCTTGACTTCAGAGCCAACGGCAGTAACAACGCCGGCAGATTCATGGCCAAGAGTCATAGGCTCCCTTACGATAATATCTCCATTTCTGTAGTGATTATAGTAATGTAAGTCAGATCCGCAAAGACCAGTCGCTTGTACCGCAACTTGTACCTCTGTTGGTTCAGGTACACCAAGCGTACGAGTTTCCTTTGAATGTTAGACCAGCAGATTCTTGTCTCATGAAACAATTAAAAACCTCCACTTACAACTTTCAAATCTTTGGCGCCATGGAGCACAGAAGCTTTCACATCTGTTTGCCCACCACTTTGGGTATTATCAGTAGAAGCCATAATGTCGAATAATTTCTTGTAGGAGATGATGGTATTTATCGGATTTTGAAATCATCTCAATGTAAAAATGTGTACTTGGGACTTTGCTCTTCGCCCTAGTACTTGGTGCTAATAAATACACCGTACTTTTTATGCCGACGAACCAGCCGGTTGTGACGGTGCCACAAACAAAGTCAGGTCATTAGGTCATTTCTTCCCCCACGACCCCACCAATGTGGAGTTCGGGGCATATTTGGACCAAGTTTACCCCTCACGTTCAACTTTCCCGCCCGTTGGTCGGAGAAGAAGCACAAGGGCTTTTTGTGAATTGGTCAATCGAAATTCGAGAACCTACTTAGTACTTACTAGTACCTAATACTTATTCAGTCAAGATGTGAAAGAACATCAGACATCTTCAGGTTCAACATAACACAATGGCTATCGCAGCTTCAGCAGCACTCTTCTCCCTAGAAGGGCAAACCGCCCTCGTTACTGGTGGTACTCGAGGTATTGGACAAGCCGTCTGCATAGCACTTGCAGAAGCAGGAGCAGATTTGATTTTGATACAGGTAATCCCATTTCGTTGCATTGAACTCAAATTGAATTATACTTACAAATCCCTGTGCCCAGCGTAATCGCGATAATCTCGAGACTCAAAAGGCTGTCGAAGCTCTAGGCAGGAAAGCTCCTATATACACTGCGGATCTTGCATCGAAGGAGGATGTCGCTGGAATCACTCCTACAATTCTGAAGGATGGACACTCGATACATATTCTCATAAACTGTGCCGGAATTCAACGCCGTCATCCGAGCCACGAGTTTCCGGATAATGACTGGAATGAGGTGTGTATCTCGTGGTATTTATGCAGAAGGCAGGTTGTGCTAAGAATTGTTAATTTTAGGTTATTCAAGTCAACCTCAATACTGTCTTCACCCTCTGTCGCGATGTTGGTGCCCACATGTTAAATCTCGAACCATCCGCTTCGACCGGCCGACGAGGTAGCATCATCAACTTTGCCAGTCTCCTTACCTTCCAAGGTGGTCTTACCGTTCCGGCATACGCAGCATCGAAGGGTGCCGTGGCACAACTCACCAAAGCTTTATCGAATGAATGGGCATCGAAAGGAATTAATGTCAATGCGATTGCTCCGGGTTATATCGAGACGGAGATGAATACTGCGTTATTAGCCAATCCGGAGAGATTGAGAAGTATCAGTGAAAGAATACCGGCGGGTCGATGGGGTGCTCCGGATGACTTCAAGGCGAGCGTTGTTTTCTTGGCAAGCAAGGGAAGCGCGTATATTTCGGGACATGTACTCACGGTAGATGGTGGCTGGATGGGTAGATGAAAATTTATGAAGAAATTATTAATATCATTTATTTCTAATTTATGTTCGAAATACCCTTGACTTTTGTCGTCATTGTCTTGGGTAGATTTTCATGTTGGTCTCACTCTTCGAGCTCTGACGCGTTATAACTTTAGCCTGGCAATGATGGTCTTGATATTTGTTTTCGCACACGCCGAAACCGATTGGACTGAAACGGGTCAAGTATATGCCGTCGAAAGGAATGGTTAACTTGAACGAACATATTTATTTATTTCAAATTGAAGGAAGCATTTGCAATACTATTATGCCCTCGTATATATTCGTGGTATTAATCGTTAGCATGACAGTCATGTAACTCATGACAACATAAATAAGAATCAAGAGTCCAGCCGTTATCCGCCATCCTTCAAAGACGAATAAGTTTTCTATCCATTCCCGCACCAAACCAGACTCCATAAACCAAATCTAGACACACAATTCCGCCGTTCCCATGGTATCACTGCATTTCCTTCTCAATGTCCCTTTTCAAATCCAGATTCAATCCAATCTTTCCCTTCCCACTCCACCATAAGGAATCATTCCCTGTCCACCATCCATCCTCCTCCAAACCATCTCGATCCTCCTCTCACCTTCTTCTTCTCCCTCAATCTTAACCCATCGCCCTTCTTTGCCCTTGTCCTTTCTTCTTCGAGTCGATAATTTCAGTTTCATAAATTGCACTTCGGTATTGAATTTGGTGTAGAGAGATCGTGTGCGTGAGAGGGTGCTGGAGGTTTTCAGAGAAGAGCCTGATGATTGGGAACTGAGACTGGGGGATTTGGAGTGGGAAAATAGTGTGGTGTATGTGGAGAGTGGTCTGCTATGGCTGGATTTGAAGCTGTGGTTGGTGGAAGACGTTGAGGAGGTGGTGTGTGTGGAAGTTGGAGTTGAGGGTCGGAGGAGAGGTGCATTCATTTCCAAATTCATTTTGGAATAATCTGGAGGATTTGCTGGGAAATTGATGATACGAAATAAGAAGAGGAAAGATAGCAAATGACTTGTATGCAATCGTAAAATCTGGAAGGAAAAAAGCAGGGAATTGTGATGCACCAGGCAATCTATATGAAATCTAAGATGCCGAGTAATTGCACTCTACCAGAGAAGCTTTTGAAAATGTATAGCATAGAAACATATCATCTCCACAGAAACCTCCTCTTTCTTATAAACACCACCATTGCCTCTGCCGTGTCTACCAACTCCCAAAATAAAACAAACGCATCGACTCCTACCTTATTACTCACTCCATTCTGCAATTCAAAATCAACAAATCCATTTAATCAACCCGAATAAATTCAACATGAAACCCGCGGCTAAAAGTCCTCAAAACATGGTAACAATTTTTTGAAAGCTCTGTCTAGACGTCGACAATCATATACGATAATGTATATGATTGGCATATAGAGCTTTGGAAGTAAGACGTCGTGGCGGTTGTGGTACCAATTTGCTGGGAAAATATTTGAAACGGGTAAGTTACAGGCTGTGGTTGTTCCGGGGGGGTTTTTGGCGCTTAACGGGGGTTGAAATATTTTTGGAGCTTCAAGCGATTTTGCTTGTTTGTTTGGAAGATGGGTCTTCAATCAAATAGATGGATCTCTTTCATGAATACTAGTTCCTTAAACAGCACTTGTTGTTCAATTCCAAAAGATTGTTGAGCTCTCGATTGATTGATCACGGAATGAAACAAAAGATAGATCTACTTCGAGTATGATATGATCTATGTGGTGTGGATGGGTGGTGGATGAATGTAACGTGACCAGAAAGACATGCAACTCACACCATTTCCGTTGCGCCCCCTCGTCTCCGAACTATCCTCTGCGGGAGAATTTGTAGGGCTGGAGGAGCAGACGTATGAAAATACTATGCAGGCCAATTAGAAAGGTGAGACACATAAACATGTGTTCTGTGGAGTTTCGATTATACTCATTTGCACCAGGTTCTTCTGCACATTCATTAATGCGTAACGGCATCGGTTTATTAATTTCATCAAGAGTGGAGGTTTTCCGAAGCTTTTCCTTTGCGCGAATGCGTAACTCCAAGCCGTTTTCCGGAGACGATATTAATTTATTGATATTTCAAAAGAGATTGGGATTTACCCAGATTAAGACAGCGTGGCAAGAAAACCTTATGATCCTGTTCATGAGAGATTTTATGAGAGATTATACCAAAAGGTGGATTCATGGTCATGGTTGTGTTCATGTTCATGTTTATGTTCATGGGTTATTGACTGGAGTTAACCGGTTCCTTACTACATAGTACATACTCAATTTCCCTTATGATTCTTCCGCTGCTGCTGCTTCTTCATAAAACAATACTCCGTACGCACACAGACATTACTATTACTGTAAGACATTTAAGACATTTAGGACATTCAAGACATCCAAGACTTTCAAGACTTTCATCATACTCCGTACAATACTAGGTACTTCTCTGACTCCATACCTTTTCCGGTTACCATTCGATATTTCTCCTTCATTCACTCCTTCACTCTGTTTATAATTGTTAATATTATTATAATTATTATTACTTTCCACTTCATTCGTTGCATACATTATTACATCGCAGATCACAGATCACGCATCACACATCACATCATCCGGAATATATACGTATCAATTCGATCCAATCCTCCTTCGAATCCTCTGTTGACGATTTAGGCTTATTAATAAGAAGAACGCTTTGGGCAGCCTTGCAGACAAGTCCAAGTCTTCAATTCAAAAATTTACTTCACTCATTCTAAAACGCGGAACCCTGCAGCTTCTCCTTAACACCGAGAAATTATTTGATATTTAGAACGTCTTGGTAGTGTCCCCAGCCAATATAAGGTTACTCATAATCTTCTACAGCAACCGCGTTGCATTGAGATTTTGACCTTTCAATCCTTTTAGGGAAAAGGTTCAAGAGGATTTCAAAGCTGTGCCAAGCGAATAATCTTCGACTGTTAATAATATCACACTGAATTGAAGGTTTATAAAGACACCAGCAACACAATTCGAGAAGCTACAGCATAGGGCACCATGGAGACAACAGAAGAATATAACGAGCGACCCTCGTTCACCAGGAGATCCCCATCTCCCACTGCACCGCCTAGACCAGCTATAGGAGCAACTAGGGACTTCACTCGAAGCGTTTCGACAGCTTCCGAAGGCTCAGTTTTTTCTGGCAGATCAAGTACAATGAGTCGTACATCAGAAAACAGTTCGGTGACCTCGGTATCTCGATCATCATCCGCGAATTATGGGACTAGAACATCTATGGCAGGTCTGGAAAGGCCAAAACGACGCGGTTATGTTCGACCACAAGGAACCAATTTTGCAAAGTCGGCACAATCAAGAGAGAGTGTTCTAAGCTTGGGAAGCATAGCGCATATACAATATTACTTCGCTCGAACCGGTCTGCTGGACGGAAAAGGTGGGCGATTGATGAAGAAGAGAAAGGATGGAAGAGAGACTTTAGATTTATCTGCCTTGGACACGTCATTCCTTGTACCTAATTCGGGATCCGATGCAGACTCAACATATGCTTCCACAGCTAGCAGCCCCGAGCTCTCTGCGCAATTAGGTGGTCTGATGGTGGAAAGTCCCTTACATGACTACAACGAGGACGTGGACCAAGATGTCAGCGGCGACGAAGACGATAATCCTCTACACCTCCTTCCTCCGACAGCAAGTACCTACATTCACCGCGAGAAGGTCATTGAACCTCCTCCAACTCTCAATCAGCTTAGACAGACCTTGGTCGATGCTCTCAATAATGCAACCATAGCTCTAGAAGATGCAAAGCACGCACGAACCCCACCGGCCTCTCCATTACCCATGCCCAGAGTCGAACCTACAAATCCCGCAACCCCTGATGCTAAGAATAGAGGCTGGTTCGAGGTACAAGGCATGCACATGCTCGACATTATGACTCTTGCTATCCGTGCAGCAAAAATGTACTATACCGCCCACGAGCATCCTGAACGCCTTCTAGCAATCAAGTCGGAGAAAGAAATCCGGGGAGAATTGTTATATGTTCTTGAAATTTTGAAACGTATGGCTACCCGAGGATTCGCCAATGGAATACGCACAGCGGAAAGGGAAACAATGAATGATTGGGTTGACGGCGTACGCAACATGCTCAGACGAGAGAAAGTGCTTGAGTACGAGGAGAGAGATTTAATAGCTAGTTGGACATGGCTTCATGCAGATGGCTGGGTAGGAAGGGAAATCGAAAGAGAGTATGCGTTCTTAAAATCCATGGATCCGGAACCTGATACTCTACCACCATTGTCATTAGTAAATGATGTAAAAGATGACAGTCAACTTCCTACACCACTTCTCGCGGAATTAAGAACCGGTCTAAGATTGGTGCAGCTACATAATGCAGCAGTCAAGAAGAGTAAAAGACCCTTTGGAGCAATATCTACCTTCCACACCGAGTTTAACAAACCATACCGATCAGCCGAGAACCTTCGATTCTGGGTTAAAGCAGCTGAATTAAGATGGGAAGCAGATGTCAAATTTGACGTCATGGGAGTGGTAAATAGTGAGGATCGTGATGCATGGGAAGGATTTGAAGAAGTAATTTGGAAATGGTGTCGAACGGTTCGGGAGGAGTTGTCGGAAGAATTAAAAAGACCAAGGAAGAATTCTATTAAGATCTAATTGTAATGGACTAATAGTCACTTCTGTTATGAGATTTTATCTTCGCATGTTTTTACGCTAGGGAAGGGTGGGAATGGAATGGAAGGAAAGGGAAGGCAGGGGGAAAGTTCTCCGCACATACATACCAATATTTATTGCACATAATCAGGGCGTGGACTTTACGGAGAGAGGTCAATGGAAATATCGGTTTTATGGGCATATATCTTTGTAGTATTTTTATATTTCTTTTATTACGCGCTTTTTCGCGCACTTTCTTTTTTTTTTCCTTTTTACTGTTCTTATTATTTTTTTTTTTTTGAAACTAGCATTAGCTTTAGCATCAGCTGGCTTTGTAGGAGTACTATACCCATACCCATACTCCGATTACCTTTTTAGCTATAGA